CCTGTCTGCAGGAGTGAGTGATCAGGTAAGACAGGAAGCCAGATGTGGTGCTGCTCCTAGTGACTGCCCCCGATACCCTGATTTACTTCTTGAAGGTCTCACATCTCCATGTTGCTACACTGAGGACCAAGCCTCCAACACATGGACCCTTGAGGAGCACACTCAAACCATTTCTAAACCTTAGCATCAAACCTGTTGCTCTCCAAGACTACAGGGGTCAAAGGGCCATGAAGTCACCCTGGGGTGGGCAATGGAGGCCAGCAGATGAGGGGACTAAAATGGGGCCTGCTGCAGTTGCCTCTTTTCTTGGAGGCCAAGTGCTGTGATCTGCATATGTGTTCTTCAGATCTTCATGTGCTTGGATGTCTGGTGCTAGTTTTGGAATGTTGTAGGTGGTAACAGGACCTGACCTTTGGACAGGGCAAGTCTCATTTTCTGTGGTTAATAAAAAAATGTACTGGGGCTACAGGGAGACCCTGTCTCAAAAAGACAAAAAAAAAAAAAAAAAGTAAAATGGGTACCTTATAAAGAAAAGAGGTTTATTTAACTCAATTTTGGAGGTTCAAGAGCATGGCACTGTTATCTGCTCAGCCCTGATGAGGCCTCAGGGCAGATGGCACCATGTGATGGAACACAGGTAAGGATGGCAAACAGTGCGTGCAGAAGAGGAACTCAGGAAGCCAGGCCCCCTCGGGGAAATTCATTCTGGCAAGGACTCATCTGATCCCATGAGACTTGCCCTCCTACCTAACCGAGCATTGTACAAACAAAAGCAAAGTCCTCAAGACATGTCCAATGGTAGAAATTAAATGATGGTAACTGATAAAGACAGTGTTTATGAAGCGAATCGATGACACAGTGGTCCTGAGTAAAAAGGCGAAGTTCTCAGATCCCTCTGGCTCTAGTAGGTTCCATATGGTGCCGTGTGACAGAGGGGAGATTGGCAGCCATTGGTTTCTGCAGCCTTGATGTTCTTGGGATTCTGGTGTGGGGAGGAGGGGAGGTTATAAGACCTTTCCTGGTCTTGTAGGTCTGGTGTAGACTATCTAGGTGGTATGAAAGGCCCTGTCCACCTTCCTGAATAATTCACTGGTAGAAGTAGCGAGTTTGTAGAAAGGATGAACAATGAACAGCTACTCTTTATTAAATTTTCAATTGATTTTTTTGCAAATTTCATATAATACATCTTGATCATATTTAGAACCCCTTTCCTATCTACACCTTCCAGCCCCTACCCCCACTGGTTTTCATGTATGTTAAAGCCTGTCAAGTTTCTGTTCCCAAATGTCCCTTGATGTGAGTCCATCCACTGGAGCCTGTTCAACATATCTAGTATCACTGCCTTAAAGAAAACTAAATGCAACTTAAAACCACCCTAAGATATCGCCTTACCCTAATCAGACTGGCTAGGATCAAGAGAACAAATGATACCAAATGCTGGCGAGGATGCTGAGAAAGGGGAATGCTCATTTGCTGCTGGTGGGATTGCAAACTGTGCAGCCTCTATGGAAAACTGGAGAACTCTTAAAAAACTAAAAATGAACCTACCATATGACCCAGTTATCCCACTCCTTGGCATACACCCAAAGGACTCATCCTATTGTAGAGACACTTGTACAACCATATTTGTTGCTGTTCTTTTCACAATAGCTAAGAGATGGAAGCAATCTGAGTGTCCCTCAACTGACGAGTGGTTAACAAAAATGTAGTATATTTACACAATGGAGTTCTAGTCAGCAGTAAAGATGAAATAAAGAAATCTGCAGGTAAGTGGATGGAAGTAACACAGACTCAGAAAAATAAAAGACATATGTTCTCCCTTATATGTGCATCCTAGCACCAAATTCTTTTAAATTCCAGGTCATTTTAATACAATGATGCTATACAGCAGTCCCTTCTGCATGAAATAACTAACATCATCATGACTTCGGCTGAGCCTGATTGCTAAACATAGTCACAATTGGGCTTGCTGACGGTTGTGGTCGTTCGTTAAAGGAATGCCAAGCAGGGTCACTGGACCCTCACCTGAGTATCCAGCCACTCTTTCCAGTCAAATAGTCCAGCCTTGGAAGACAAAAGAAAAATGAGGAAGAACCCAATAGAGGGATGCTTTTGGAAGCCTTTGTCAAGAAACCCCAATGGATTTTCATATGAATATTTGAAAATTGCCCTGTTCTGGCTTTTTTCTAGTTCCCTGTCTAGAACTTGTAATGCTAATTACTCTTGCCTTTACTCCTCCTTCACATCTCCTATTCACCAGTCAAGCAAGGACTTTCTTTTCCCCCTAGAGATAGGAGTTATGCAATTTGGGAGTCTTTTAGATAGACCCACTGAAGGGGTACCCCAATTGCCTTACCCTGCATCCCTGTTCACCATGGAAGAAGCCAGAGTGATCTGCATCTCTATTCCCTATATGCAAGTTGAGTAACCTCTTCAGAGGATGGCATGATAAGAATAGGAGGTAGTAATTAGCTAGGCAGTTAGGGTAAAATGACCCCAAAAAAATGTAGCCAGTTTCTTGCCTAAAAGTCAAAATGTCCTTGGGCCTGTTAGCAACACACTCTGTTCCAAAGGCCAAAAATGTCAAAAATATTTGTAAGCTTGTATCTAATCCTTAAAAGATTTTAGGGTTACCTCTTCAGCGGGGGAAATGTTGGAAGGGAGGGAGTAGGCATGGATTAGATCAAAACACCTTATATACAAAAAAATAAGAAACCTAATTAATAAAAAAATCCTAATTATTAAAGTAAAAAAGAAGAAGAAGAAAACTAACTCTCCCTTACCCAGTAGTTATCGGTTTCCAGCAGTTCCTCAGTGAACGCTGGGGCTTCTTACCTAACTCCTCTCTTCTATGCTGGGTTTTATCTTGTTTGAACGTGCATGGGGAACAGCTTCTCTGAATTTCCATTGCTCCTTGCTCACTCAAACACTATGGAGAAGAAGGAGGGGATATCATTTTCTAGAGGTTTACCATTTCTCCTCCCATCGCCCCACGGCTGAGGTGAGGAGGGGAGGCAGAAAGAAAGCAGACTTTGTCCCTTTCTCACTTCAAACCCAGCAGGGTCCAGCCCAGCTGGTGGTGAGGGAGGGGACAGTTCATCATAAATGTGAGGTTGGTGCCTTCAGCCTCACTTGACAGAGTTTTTTAATATCAAGAAGTGACCAAGGAGATTATGGAATCTAGGGTATCATTATGGGATCTCAACCCAGCAGGAGTCAGAGAGTCATAAGGCCCAGCTAGGGCATGATAGGAGAAAAGTAAAACCATTTCCTGTGTGCCCCCAAGGAGTTGAGACTGTTCAGTATGTCAGTTATATCTGATGAAGGGCTTCATATTCTTAGGACCAAAGTTGAGTCACTATGCGTTTCTGTTTGGGTCTAGTGAATTTATGAATTGTTGAAGAGTGGCCAGATTTTCCATCAAATCAAAAGCTTGAAATGTTAAACCAGAAGCAAAGAGACACACCAGAGGTACATTTCGGAATAGATACAAGAGACATTAAGAGGCACCTCAGAACTATCATTGTCCTTTTTTCCCACCATAATCTAATGTTCCACTTGTAAAATTCTATGGACAGATGTCAGGTTTTAAACTTCAGTCCATCACAGACTGAAAATGGAACAGTGACGTGGAGAAGAGCAGCTGTTTAAAGCCATGTTTGTGAGCGACTTGTTATCCTTGTTCACTCACTCATCAGTCATCGTACCCTCTTGATTATTTAACTTCCATCATAACACCTTTTAGAACGCTCTTCTATTTAACTAAAAAATAGCTTATTTGTTTATATTTTATGTGTATGAGTGTTTTGCCTGCATATGCATAGGTCATGCAATGCTCATGGAGGCCAGAAGAGGTCATTGAATCCCCTAGAACTGGAGTTACGGACAGTTGTGAGTTGCCATGTGGTGCTGGGAACACAACCCAGGTCCTCTGCAAGAGCAGCCAGTGCTCTTAACTGCTGAGCCATCTCTCCAGCCCCTATTTAATTTTAAAATTTTATTATGCGTAACTGTGTACATGATGTGTGTGTGTGTGTGTGTGTGTGTGTGTGTGTGCATGTTCAGATCAGGAAGTTTCATTGTTGACATGGAGGAAGATTCTCCATGTAGGACAAAAAAACTGGTCTTCATACAAACTTTTTTTGTGAGACCTTTTCCATTTTGTTTTTGTGTTTACAAATAGGACTTCTCTCAATGTGAGACACCACTGAGGGCAGGCCCAACCTCCTCTTATCCATATTGCCAGAAACACCATCAGACTCAGGGTTGACCTTTGAAGAACCGGGCTGTCTGCTGTGGCTCTGCAGCCCTGAAAAGGAGAGGGATTATGAATTGCAGAGGCAGGCCCACAGAGCTGGCAGGGGCTCCACCATGTGTTCCCTGGCCCTGCCTCATAGCCTCATTGGAGGGCAGTCACAGGCTGGCAGCCTAGACTGTCTACCTTTCTGATTCCTTGGGAGACTTTTCTTTATCAAATGAATACAGTAAAGAGCCCTCCCACCAGCACCAAACACTGGCTGTCTGTGACTGGGCAGCTAAACTGGAGGCAGAACTGGGTGTTAGGGCTGTACGTGCTGGGCTCAGGTGGGCTTCCACAGGCCCAATGAGACACAGGCACAAGATACCAAGGGCTGGACAGGGGGCACACGGAGGAAGGGGCATGTGTGCATGATTTCACATTGTGTAGTGCCATAGCTTTAGTTCTCCCCCCCTCTCTCCTTCCCTTTTCTTTCTGTCCCTTTCTCCCTTGCTCTCTCAACAGACAGGCATCTTAAGTATGTACAGTGTTGTTTTATTCAAACAAAAGCTATTTCAACTTACATTGCAAATATTCTTTTTGTTAGTTAATAGCTTTCAACATAGACTGAACTGACAGGAAAAACACCAATGGTAGGCGGCTCTTCAAGGGTGCACAATCACTCATCCTTGTCACTGCACAGAGCTATTTGTAGAGTACAGGTCACAGCTTCACAGCATCTTGAGGATCAGGTTCCAATTTCTTATTTTTCTTGTTTCCTTTCTGCATCATCTGTCTCCTTGAATGCTCGTCTCCTTAAATGTAAGCAAGACAGTGTTCTCATCCATCAGAAGACTAGCAAGCAGAAACATAAAAGTACAAATCATATTCCTAATTGCTTTATTACATTTTAGCAGAATTGGGTTGCACTTGAAATGAATGAGCTATTGATGGAGGCTGAATTTATGATAGGCACAAAGGCTTAAAACTTGATTCTCTCCTTCCTACCACACATGCCTGGTCAGTTGTCCAAGTCTATCCTTGTGTAATATTCCGTCTCCTGATGACTGAGGCCCCAATCTGTGTCCAGGCCTGTGTATCTGCATTCTGTTCTCCCTCTACTTGCCTTTGTCCTGAGCTCCTCATATGCTCTTACCAAAAAGAACCTCAGCTCTTCTTGCTTCACCTGCTTTAGTGCCTCTGCTTACCCTCACCTTTTGCTCTGCTCAGGACCTCTCTCCTCTTTCAGTCACTTAGCGTTCAGAGTAGAGCTGCCTTTCCAAGGATGGTTCGTGAAGCCTTGCTGGGTTCCCTCCCACAGAATCATCCTTAGTGACTCTCATTACTGCCTCTCATAACATTCACTCATTCTATCAAATACCAAGTGCTTGCTGTGGGGCTGTTACAAGTCTCAACACTGGGGATATAGGGCAGTAGACAAAAACTATGGGATTTATAGAAATGAAGTTCTATTCAAGGTGGTGAGCCCTAAACATGTAAGTCCGATGAGGACAAATATGGAAACAATAAACTGGGAATGCTCTGAAACCGTGTCTCTGATAAGGTGGCATAGCTTCAGCCCGACTTCCTTCAGGCTTTAACTAAAGCTTTGCATTCTGTTTTACATAAAAACAGACTTTTTCGTAATAGTCTTTATTAGAAAATAAAATTTAAAAATCTTTTGTAGTAATTGACACTCTGATTTATACATAGTAGATAAATACTTAATACAAAGAATGATTATAGAAGGATTTATTTATAAAACGAGATCCAGAAAAAAGATAAAACTTTGATTAAAAATTGGGCAAGTGGTAAAGCACCTGCCTAGATGCATGGGCCCTGGGTTTGATGTCCAGCACCACCCAAAAAGTTTTTAGGGAAAAAAGTCCTGCATTTGGGATCTTGGTTGAGATGGTGGTAGCCTTTAGACTTTTACGTTAGATCGAATGTTGAACATGTTGTGGGCTTAGATCTATACTTTTGTCATTGAATGGAATTATTTAGTGTGTGGTTTATACAGTAATGAGGTTGATGCCCACAGGTGACTTAGGGAAGCCACCTCCTCCTATGTGCTTAGTACAGTCAGAATGTACAGGTATTCATTTCTCTTTTTGCCCTTCTCCTTCTAAGAAGCTTGCTTTCTTAGAAATCTATTTCGACAGTGTGTAAACACATGTTTAAAGTCTCTGCCCAGGCTCCTGACTAGCTTTCTGGTATTTACCTTGGTTGCTGTTGGTCAGGACCTTGGGTCTCTAGGTGCTGGCGGGTCATGCAGTAGAGCAACTCACCAGCAGGTGGTTCATGTAGGGATCGCAGCATCAGCAGCAGATGACTCAGTGTCTTGGGGATACTTCTGCCTCTTGTCGTCATTCTCCCAAACCTTTGGGGCAGGTTGGGGACATGACTCAAGACCCTTGCTTCCATGTTTCTACCAAATCTCAGAGGCAGGGTGGCTGCCCCGGGGCTCCTTTCTTCTCTCATGGTCCTCCCAAATCTCAAAGGTAGATTGGCTGCTGAGTGCGGCATCTTGTTGGCCATGGCTGTACTCATCTTAATGACATTTTTTGGCCCCCAGTCTTTTAGTTCTTGAAAATTGATACTTCTTTCCTTTTCCCCTTTTGGGGTTTCTCCAGGCTATAATTAGAAGTGGTAATTAAAATAATTTATTATTATTATAAACTATAGATTTAAATCCTAAATTAACTTAAATCCAGGCTTTAATCTGC